CACACAGTGTAGTACAGTTATATTAACTGATGACGTTTCGAGCACAAACTATTGCTCATAATCATATCAAATCATATCAATTTGATATGATTATGAGCAATAGTTTGTGCTCGAAACGTCATCAGTTAATATAACTGTACTACACTGTGTGATTTATCAAAATAAAATCTTATCCATTATGGAATTATACTCTACCACAGTGCCCAAGTTTTATACTTATATCTAGAATTCTGGTCTCAAATAATTATGAGTGGGCTGAATGGTGCTGAGGAAGGCGAGCACATGAAAGTCAGGCCGGATATAGGCCCGGTCAACGGTGTACTAATCATATCTTCACCTTTTGGTAGATTCCACATAGCAGATTTCGACACCTGAAATACCTCTTGACATGATAACGCCATTCCAATTTGCAAGCTATAAGGAGGAATACATCTTTTGGTGACAGGTTCTTACATTCTGTCTTTCGTGCTAAATGGTATAATATGGTGAGCAATACTGAGCCTAGGTGTGTTGTGTTAACTCGAGGGGGCTATTTAATCGATGACACTATGAAGCTGAATCGACTGAGGTCACCACATGTTACGCATGCCAAACGATCACCTTCCTCGTCGAGTAATGTTGAATAACATGGGAAGAGTCACAGGTTGTCTAATCAAAACCTGCAGTCAATCAAGTAGGTTTGTGAGTGGTGGTTTGAACCATGAGGTGAGGTGTAGACGTTTTGACTGAGAACCTCGAGACACTAACCAATGACTGGAGACTTTTGGTGATATGGCTCAAACATCGTTTTCAATGGCTCAGACACTTTCATCCGTTCTGAACTCCTACATCCAATAGATTTTCTTTATTGTCTCTGTGTGATTAGTTTCCCTTGAGTACATCCGCAGTAAAGATAATTCCTTTGAATTCTTCCTCTACAATTCTGGGCCACATCTATCGTAGCAACTTCAATTGCTGCATGTTTGAGTAGCGATCTACTTTAGAACTCAGTAATTAATGAAAATGCAAAACAAACACTTCAGTAAAGAGGCTTTTTCAACAACTTTATTTTTCTTAGCTGCATAATCACACTTATGTACATTTATGTTAACAAAATAGGGCACTAACGAGGGAGATTAGTGGTGAGACGTACAGTCGCCAATTCGATTAATGTCAAATCTAAATTCTCTTGTGTTGATTAGTATTATGAAGAATGCTAATGATCATTGCTTTTCCTTACTACCTTATTTTGTGAAAAAAATGTACAAATTGTATGCAGTAAACAGAAATAAAATCACTGCAAAAAAGCTTATTTTCCGTGCTATTTCACTCATTATGCTTTCTTAAGCTTTGAAAATAGAAATGGATTTCACATCACCAGTTCAAATCATAGGGTCTACTACGGATGTAACCAGAGGACACAGCTTTACTTGTAACCGTATTGTAATCTATCAGAAAACGACTGATAGTGGGGATCGTATCATGTTCTAAGGTCTAACACCATCAACAGGAAAACCAACTCCCACTGAGATTGTGCGGTTAACATTTTCGGTAATAAAATGTTGACTGGTATAAGAAGCTGAGAATATTATCTTATAGGGCATTTAGTACGATGTATTCACGAAAAATAAAACTAACGCATGTAAACGGTAAATACTAGCATCCTACAAAAACACTCTTCTTGGAATTATTCGGTCATCTTATAACACGAATTGGATAGTCCATTGTACAATGAGCTACCATGGACTAACGCGTCAGTGTGTGGTCGTCGTGAATAAGGACAGTTCGTTTATCTATGCAATACCTTTTGACTGCCATCTGAATAGTGATAATGGACAGTTAATCATGTCCGACAAGTTGGAAATCAATGGAACTGCTGTTTCTCAGTCAATACAGGGCAGTTTCTTCAGTAGTTTAGGCAGCTATCGAAGCATACATAGATTGTTCATGCATTATTTCACCGT